TATCCAATGGATATCGTAAAAGGCATGGATGTTATATGGACATTGGGATAGCCACTGGATATCCATTGGATAGCGTGTTCTGTGTATATATGGAGGTTGAAGACGAGAATAAGATATGTTTCTTGGATACAACGGTTCACAGGCTACCAGACGGTTCACTTATCACCAACTGGAATAGAAAATCTTATTATTCGGGCAGGATATTAAATTTTTATTCGAATAACCCGACCACTCATAAAGTGAATACTATAAAAAAACCTACTACACAGATCTTATAAACTGAGTGACCAACAATTTCAAGAGGAAAATTTAAATCAGATAAGGATAATGTTAAAGAATAATGGATACCCTGTCAACTTTACGAATCGTATTATCCAGGAATTTATACATAATAGAACCAGGAATGAATGCAGAATGTTACAAAAAGAAGAACAGTGGTTTGTTAAATTTCCATTTGTGCCAGGTCTGACAAACCAGATTAAAAATATTTTAGGAAAAGAGAATATAGTTACTGCTTCTTATAACATTTTGGGAACTGGATCTTTGTTTAGTAAATTAAAGGATAAGGTACCCAAGGAGCTTCAATCAAATATTATATACAAAATTAAATGTCTTCACAGCGAGAAGTTTTATGTTGGCCAGACGAGCCAATACGCCAAAAAGCGTTATAGTCAACATAAAAATGATTGTTCGGCAAAAAATTCAACAAAGATAGAAAAAACGGCCTTGGCGATACACCATTTTACGGAAGATCACAATTTTGATTTTAACAACATAATTATATGTGACAAAGAAGTTAATCGGTACAAAAGAAATATTGGTGAGATGGTGTATATAAAGCTAATACTGTTAATTTAAGAACTGACACTCAGAATTTAAGTGGAAGCCATATACCTATAAGTAATAGGTATACCTATAATTATGGTTATAGGCTATAACCATAATTATAGGTATATGGTGGAAGCTATAATGCTTTGATAGAAAAGTATAAAAATAGGGTTTAAGTTGGATTTGTACTTTATTCGTATTTATTTGTTAGTTTTAATGTTTGTAGAAAGATTTTAATTTATTTATAATTTATTATGTACGAGTATATGCTTTGAAGGTGAATTTATATTTTTATTTTTATGTAGTATTAGTAGTAGTGTTTTGCGGCGTAGGCATATCTTCATAAAATTTCCAATTAAGTAGTTTAAATGTACCATTATCATTTGTTATTGTAATGTCATTCTATCAGAAGGTTTCTTATTGTATTGGATTATTTTATTGGAGTACATGCCGTTTTGCGGTATATATGTTTGACGATATGACTGAGCTGTCAATACATTTTTTGAATTAGGTGAGTCCGGTGTTCTTCAAAGTTTTTACGAAAATTGTTTTTAGAGGTATTTATTTATAAAAGTAATTGTGTCATTGTTGTTTTTTAGCCCTGAGGAAGAAACGTCGGCGAATTTAAAATAAGTTTTTAATTTTCCTGTCCGAATACCCACAAACCTAACCTCAAAAAAAATATATATTTTTTTTGGTATTGTCTTAGAAGGCAGTTTTGTACTTTACAGTTTGATGTTTTTATTTATAAATATATATTTTTTTTTCCTAGGCCTAATCTCAACAACCGGAAAAGCAATCTTAAAACAGGACTAAGATTTTTATTAAATTTTTTAAATTCGTAAACGGCATTTGGCTTTTAGTATACTACGTTCCAACTATTTTTATCGGGAAGGTCGTAACTTTTTGTTCCTCCAAATTAAGATAGGTAATTCAAATAAAAGTGGTACAATATTTAATTTACTAAAGTTTATCGACAAATTTAAAATTTTATTAAAAAAATTCAAGAATTACAGGTTTGATACCATTTTAAATTTTTATTGTTTCTTTTACTAAATTTTAAAAAAATTAGAAATGGTATAAAATCTGTAATACCTACTTGAATTTTTTTAATAAAATTTGAAATGTATCGATAAACTTCAGTGAATTAAATATTGTACCACTTCATTTTGAATTATCTTAATTTGGGCGCATGCCCGGGCAGGAGGCTAGAGGGGCACAATTAAAAACTAACTTTTTTTAGCAAACTTTAATTTAAATTCTGCTTGCGCAGAACATGTCTATATAATGTCATTATAAACTCATATAAATTTGATGTGGGTCCCATGTATAATAACTGGGATATGGGTGTGCCAAAATCCATCAGCCGCCACAGATTTTTTGCATGTTCTAATTGGACATTCTAGAGGAGGTAAAAGTTTTACTTTGTTTTGTAATGTTTGGTATAATAGAAGTGTTAACGGTTAGCGGTGATCAGAATACTATATTCTGTAACAAGTTTGGAATACAGCATTCCGCTCGAGTGAAGAGTTTGTCACACGAGCCGAAGGCGAGTTTGACGGTTTCACGAGAGCGGAATATGCAATTCTAAGCGTGTTTCAGAGTATACTTTTACTACGTTTAAAAAAAATACCATAGAAAAATAATTTAATTGGATGAAAGTGAGGTTGGATCGGTCTAAAATTTGTTAGATATTAAAAACAGAGATGTCGCCTTGAATGTTTATTCTGTCATCCGATGATAGAATATTCCATTCTGTAACACTTTACGGAATATATGTCATTCCATAGATATTAGAACGGTCAAATTCCGTAATAAGAGTAGAAAAAATGTATTCTCTACCACATTACACTCACATGTGTTCAAATTTGTATATATTGATCAATGATAGAAACACCACCTTTAGAAAACCCAATGATGCCAGTAACTGTTAATTGAAATTAAACGTTATAAGAAGCAGGTACTTTTTTTTGTTTTATGCTTCAGCAAGCGTTTTTTGATTAAAATTACCACATAAAAATGGGATATTTTAATTTAAATACAGATTCTAGACTTTCATTTAGTTTTTCAAATGAGTATGAGTATGAGTATGGGAACGTATGGCAAGCCCCAGATATATTGTCATCCACTGATCTCCCGGGGTTATATTACCCCCTTTCCGTTCTCCTGCGTATCCCGCCAAATCACAGCATTACCTGTGTTTGTTGGATCCGAAGTTTTTACGCCGGCTGGTAGATCCACCCTAGGAGTTCGTGGATGACAGTGTCAAAGGTTAAGGCAGCTCCCGGGATTTTTGTCAGCCGGGTCGGGCCATACGTCCAGTTTAGGAAGGGCTTTTGGAGGACATTGAACTGACCAAAACTAAGTACAATCCGGAATCCTCCTAAACCAGGGCTTTAGTAGTAACCCCATTCATTTGGTATTCCTGAATGGGGGTGGGTGGATTAGTATGCTGCTAGCGCCTTTTCTTGATGGTGTACTTCTTGATGGCCGCTTTAGAATTGTTTGCCCCCCTGTGCGTTATTGAGTCGTATCTTCCGAACCGAAGTGTTGCCGGCCGCACCCCGCCGTAATATGGCCCTCTGACTATGTGGAAATACGTTTAACCTACTGGAGTTGTCGACCCTCGAATTATTTTTTTTCCCACTGTGCATGATCCCAGTGATTCTTAGAACGCTTTACTTAATTTATGAACCCTTACGTCTTGGTAATCTATAGATGTAAACATAAATAAATAAATTTCTTTAGGATGGTTTCTTTTGCTTAATGTTTATCGTAACTTGAGTGATTAATGGCTTCTTATGTGCCCTTGGGTTTATGGTTTTTTTTACTGTTTCATTTGCATGAGAATCTTGGAAATTGTTTGCTACTAATTAATTTACCTGAAGAATTATTGTTAGTTAAAGGTTGTGAATTTCGTATTAACTAGTAATAATATTATGGGTGGACATGGTCATGCAATTTGGTAGCTACTTATCTAGTTTATGCAGACTTGGGACTTCGGGATATTTGCCATGCTGATGTGCTTAGATTGATCCTTATCGCATGCCGCACGCACGTGTGGTAGCCCAGGAAATTTTCATTGGAACTGATTGTCTCTCTCACACCTTTTAACCAGGTCAAACACTTGAGTACTTAGTCCAGGGGGAGGTACCACACACAATTTGCACTCATATGCACTTGGGACAGTTATCACTTGTAGAATCGATATTGATTTATTTTTATTTTACGGCGTTAACCCGTTATTCCGTGTAAAATCGATATTGATTTGATATTTTTTTATTTTACGGCGCACTTTTCGCGTTTGTTCCACTTTTTGCACTTGTTTGTTTATTTATTTATTAATTTATTACCGATTACCGGTATTTCCGCATACTTAGATTCGCTTTTGATACTTTAATACGTTTGTATCGTATACGCTGCTTAGGAGATGTCTTTGAACGTCCTTACACTTCAACAGTCAAGACGCAACTGTGACTTTCATTTAGTTTTTCAAATAGCATAAAAATTACCTTTAGGGGAACGATAGCAAATCAAAATGGTTATACAGGGTGTTCGAAAAAAGAAATCCGTTAACCATATGTGTATTCCTTGAGGAAAAATAATTTAACTTTAATAATACCATTTTTCAATTTGTACCATCATGCTTGAAAAGTTTAAAATTTAAAACTATTTTTATTGAATAATTCGAGATATTATGTTCAAATTTGGTACATTGCTCTAACATAAATAGTTACATCTTTTAGAAAAAACAATTGCCAAATAATTAAAATACCCACTGACATCCCTATTTTTAAGTACGAGCGCCAGTTACTTTCGAACTATATTTTTTTAGGGTATCATTTATTTTTAATTTTTTTTGTTTCCTACAAAATTTCGATAAAATAATTTGTTTTAGAGAAAATTAAAAAAATATTGGTCCTTGATTGATGCCTACGCGGCTTACAGTAACCTCATAATTTTCAAATACATAATATAATAAATAAGTAGGTATTTGAAAATTATGGAGTACTCCAAATCAAGTTAGCCTCTGTTTATTTACTGTCAATTTAAATGTTTTTATTTCAGTTTTTTTAAGACTTATAAGTTCCTTTTATTAATTAAAAGTCTTGTTGCAAGTAAAAAGAAACAAAATAGATTGTAGGCGAGAACATTTATTACCCTTTTCTGAAATGACGGAGATGACTTTAATTATAGGTAAGATTTAAATACATTTGCGTTAATGGTTTTCTCGAATAGAAAAGGAGATATTTTTCTAATTTGGCCAACTTGCCACTACTGCACACCAGACTCCTGGCTCGAATAGGTTTGAATAAAATGAGGACAAAATCGGTACATGGGGATTGAGTTGTATGTATGTAATTAGAATCCTAGCTGCTCAGGTTCACCTTTAAGTTTTTTATTCTACGACCACTAAGTAAAAGCCACATTTTTGTATGGTGTCGTTGCTAAGAAAATGAATCTTTTCATTTACAAGGCAAAACTTGAATGAAAAGTGACGTTGATGTGTGAAAAGTGACAGGTCTGTCAAAAGGGATTGACAACTACTTCTAACAATGAAATCAAATGTCAACAAACGTTAACGTTAATCGGTTACTAAAATAATAGTTTACTTGTTGCTTAATTAAATAATATTGAACATATTAGATCATTATTTAAACGTAATATTACAATTTTCTATTGCGATTCGGAGTGTATACTTGTATGTTTAAACTATGCCTCCTAAAAGTCTGCACGAAGAAAATAGAGTCAAAATTTGTGCACCTTGTGGAAACAAAAATTGTGTTGGGAAAAAAACAGTTAAAATTCTTTTCAATAACTACAAGATATGAAAACCGAATTAAAAAATTGGTTAACCCTGATTTTAATATTACGGATTCCCATTTCCCGGTAACTGTTTGCATTACATGTACGCTAACGCTTACTGAACACGAAAAAGGAATTTTTAAACGGCCTTTGCAAAAAATGCCCAATTATAAGGATATACATCTTACTAAATCTACACGAGCTACTGGCGATTTGTGTAACTGCTACATATGTTTGAATGCAAGATACAATGGACACAAAAAATTAAAATGGGTGCTGGTCGTAAGCGAAAATTATCAAATAAAATCGATGAATCTATTATTTGGCACTTTTTCATGTAAAAACTTCTTCAAACAAAGTCAGTATAAAGCATCACAATTGATTAAGATATGTAAAAATTGTTTTACTACATTAGGTAAAGGAAAACAACATACTGCTTGAGAAAATGTATATAAGTTCATGGAACAACTACCACAAAAACATCAAGAACAAATTCTCACTGATTCCTTGAAGAAAAAATGGAACATAAGTAAACAAAGTAAAAAAATTAAGTACAAGAGTTTCAAAACTTAACTTCACGTTGGGTAAATTAGAATGCCATATTTCGAAGTCGTTTACTGCAGAGAGCTTGGGTGATTTTCGAACCATTAATGGATTATCTTTGAATCACATGAAAAAATTGACTAACATCCTGAGACGTAGAGTTGGAAAAAAATCAGTAGTTGCTCATATTATAAAGCATTTGTCCGAAAAATTCAAGACGTTAGATTCACTCTACAGCGAAGGAATATTTAAATTTCATACTGGTATTGATAAAATTTACAAGCAAAAGCGACCGGTTGTATGGGCAAATGCTATTGATTTATTAGACAGTGTAATAGAACGTCGTAGTATTATTGGTAACTTTCTTATTAAAGTGATGGCTGATACTGGGCAAGGATTTTTTAAGCTCAGTATGACTATACTTCCTGAAGGTTACTTAGAACTATTTTCAGGTGATGAAAAATTACTAGTGTTCATAAATTAATTATATTATGCGTGGTTCCAGACATAAAAGAAACATATGACAACGTCAAGCTCATATTTGATTTAACGAAACTGAATGATATACCGTACAAGTTTGTGTGTGATTTCAAGTTACTATTAATTGTAAATGGACAGCAAACAGCCACAGCTTCCTTTCCCTGTCCATATTGTTTTGTGCCACTACAAAGCTTAAGAAGTAATAAAGAAGTAAATGGTACCTTGCCAAGCACGTCAACTTTATCTAAAGTGGCCGATTCTGAGGTGACAGAAAATTACGAGAATAATTTGAAAACTTTTGGTAATTTGCGAAAAGATTACAAAAAGTTTGTTGCCCTGAAAAAATATAAAACGCTTGCAAAAGAGTGCCATAGTACTGTGAATGCACCATTGTTTGATGAAGACCACGACACCTGTGTGCTGCAAAAATGCATAATTCCAGAATTACATATTATGTGTTTTGTGAACCATCTTTTCTGGAAAGGACTTGTGCCTCTTTTAGGTAGAGAACGAGCTTTGCTTTGGCCTAAGAGTTTATGCGTTATATCTAAAAATTATCACGGGGAAGCTTTTGAAGGCAACCCATGTAGAAAACTGTTAAAGCATCCTGATGAACTTTTAAAATCCGAAATTTTTGGCAAAGTTGAACCTTTAAAATTAGTACCATTCATTGCTTCCTTTAAGGCCATGGATAAACTTGTCAACGCTTGTTTTTCTACTAGGCAAGTAGATTCCGAATGTGAGAAATTTGTTAAAGAATTGGAAACATCTTTTTATAGTACAGAAGTTACCGAGACATTAAAAATTCATGTAATTTTAAAACATTTATCGCAGTATTAACTTATTTGAATAAAAGTGGTCTTGGCATATGGTCAGAACAATCTGGTGAGGCAATCCATTACATATTTTTAAAAATATATTGGAGTCGATATAAAATCAATATGATTGAGGATAACAGGTATTTACAGAATCTGAAACGAGCAGTAGTCGAATTCTCCTCGCAACATATTTGATATAATAAAATGTATGCAAAACGTGTAATTGTAAACAAAAAGTTTGATGTTGCATCCATGGTACTTAATACTAAATATTAAAACGCTGTAATTGTGAAAAAAAAATAAAATATAAAATTTATAATTGAAAGTTTATTTTAGGTCCTAATATTTTTTAAATTAAAGATTTTAATTTTGTAGCCATATTTTGGTGAAATTGCTTTAAGTTTTTTTTTTGCAAAAAGAAACAACTTTGGTTTAAAATATTTTTTGATAAAATTAATATGTTCACTGCAAATTGAAAAAAAGCGCAGCCGCTTAAAGTCGGATATCAAGCGACCCCGAGCAGTTTGGATTTTGATTCAAACGGATTTTCTTACTGTGGAAGAATACAATTCATTCCCCGTTTACCGATTTTGTCCTCATTTTAGTCAAACCTATTCGGGCCAGGAGCCTGGTGTGACTGTATAACGACCCGCACAACAATCCTTCTTCTGAGTTCATATGAGCTCATATATTATTTTTTATAAATTTTACCGCACGGTCTGAGTTCTTAACGCATTCAAGTGCCGCTGCATATGTGATCAAATGATCGCAGAGTGTAGGATGTAAAAACAAACGCTTTGCTGCGCAGGCGTAGAACGTTTACTCATAACTATAAAGGTTACAATTATTATGGACCTATATTTTTAAATGATTTGTATACTAACAATAATATACGGGGGACTTAAAAATTATTAGGCGCATTCAAGGAAGATTTAACTGTCTAAGACAGAGTGGGAGTTTTAGAAGAACGGAGAGGTAATTGCGGTTGACCTCGTGTTATTCAAACTCAACAAGCTGAGGACATTAAAAGGATTTTCGAGGAAACACCAAACATTAGTACCAGGGTTTTGGCTGGTCAGGTTGAAAACATAGGGAAAACTATGATTCACGGTATCGTATACGAAGTCAGCAGCTCTACTACCCACACCATATTCAAGTGCCTCAAGACTTCGAAGCAAGACTTTTATTGTGTAGATGGTTTTGCGAAATGAATAACCGAGATGTACGTTTTATCAAATTTATTTTGATTACTAATGAAGCTACGTTTACGAGAAACAAGATAAAAAATATTTACAACACACACACACATGGGCGGAAGAAAATCCTAAAGCCATAGAAGAAACGCATCATCAAGTAAATTTTAAAGTTAATGTCTAGGCAGGTGTCGTAGATATATTTTGAACAAAAATCATTTAAGTGAAAGGATCCCTTAAGCTAGAGAGCAGTTCAGGTTAAAGCCAAATATTTTTCAAATGCTAAGACTTTCTTTAATTAGAGTGCTTGCATTTGTATGAGTATGAGTATAAGGTACGTATAGCTGGCCCCATCAGCATCGTCATACACTGGTCTTCCAGTCCTCCACCCTTTTGAATCTCCTACGTATCCCGCAACTTCACAGCATTTCCTTTGTTTGATGGGTACAAAGTTTTACCCCGGCTGGTAAATCTCCCTTAGGAGATCGTGGTCGATGGTTAAGACCCCTCCCGCCGGGACAAGGAGGGAAAACATTTTGGTTTTCGGGGGACGATAGACTGACCCAAAACTAAGTGCAATTCGGATTTCCCTAGACCCGGGATTTGATATCACCCATATTGAATTGGGGTTCATGAATGGGGCTTGCTTAATTCGCTGTAGGGGCCTATCGTGCTTCTTGTAGTACTTCTTGTTCGTCTACGTCCATGTCACTGCTGAAAACCGCTTTAGAATAATTCTAACAATAACAAACAATTATTTTTGTTTGCACCAATGTGCGAAAACTGAATCTTGTCTTTAGTATCGAAGTCCACAACGAGCCGTTCACAGTGCCTCTCTGCCTTCGAGGAAAGTTAAACTGCTTATTCCAAGTACTTCACAAAAAAATGTAGCATGTTGCTAGTCGTTTTACTAGCTGAAATCGGTAACAATGCACCCCACTTATCTACCCCACTGTGCGTTATAATTCGAATTTGTTTAAAAAGTAAATTAGATTATTGACTGCGAAACGAGCGATAACAGAGGCTTTTTACTAGTATGTGAAAAAATATAGTAATTATTGTATGTTTTTAGTATGGCAATAAAATTAATTTCATTTTACTGGTTTAATATTATTTATATTTTTGGCTAGTCCTTTGTTTTTGGTATTGTTACCTATTGCAAAATTTTACTTAATTGTATCCATGGTAATTCCACAGCGGCAACTTCATTTAGAGTATTTGAAAATTATGAGATTACCGTAAACCGCGTAGGCTTCAATCAAGGACCAATACTTTTTAAATTATCTCTAAAATAAATCCTTGTATGCAAATTTTATAGGAGACAAAAAGTAATCAAAAATAAATAATTACTTGAATAAATATAGTTCGGAAGTTACTGGCGCACGTACTAAAAAATAGGGGGGTCAGTGCGTACTGGACCCCCCACCCCTATTTTTGTTTTAATTATTTGTGTTGATGCAATGTACTAAATTTTATCTTAATATCTTATCAAATATTTGAATTATAAAAAAAAATAAACTTTGACGCCCTATATATCGAACATGACTGAATTTAAAATTCTCTATTGGTTTTTAGAAACGTCAAACAATAATCTTAATAAACTTATATCGAAAACTCAACCGTTCTATAAGGTGTTACAGTTGCATACATTTATTTGAAAAATAATATTTCTTTCAAACTAAAAACATATTTTATTAAAATGTAGTGAGTATTGTTTTTTAATTAGGTATCATGGGCATTAAATTCGTTTTCATACTACAAGCACTACGGGAGTGATAATATATCTTAAAAAAAAGGTATGCCAATAATCCAAAAAAAAGTTTTTATATTTTTAAAATAAGCAGTCAATTTTTGAAAAAAAGTCTACTTTTTAAAATGTAATTTAAGAAATTATATCACATGTAAATTCTGTGGCCTTGTAATACATAGTTTACAATGTTTTTTTAAGTTTTCTAAGGTGTTTAGTGTTGGTGAAACATGGTGTAATACGTGCCGAACAGGTCCATTTCAAGTAATAAATGAAAATTCAGCAAAAACAAAAACTTTTAATTGTGAATTATAACTACACATAAGATATGAGTTAATAAGCAAAAACTTAAACGTAATTCGTGAAAATAAAACCTTGCCACTACAGTATAACGACCCGCACAACAATCCTAAGTTCATATGAGTTCATATATTATTATTTTACCGCACGGTCTGAGTTCTTAACGCATTCAAGTGCCGCTGCATATGTGATCAAATGATCGCAGAGTGTAGCATGTGAAAACAAAAGCTTTGCTGCGCAGGCGTAGAACGTTCACGCACAACTATAAAGGTTAAAATTATTGAAATAAATAAATATAAAAAAAAATTAACGTTGGCTGCTCTCGATATAAATTATGTTGATGTATCTATGGTAATAATAAAATAAGTTGTTCTTGCTTGTAATGTGCATTTATGTTAATAAAGAAGTTTAACTAAAGAAAACATTATTTTTCTAGAATATAACCCCAATATCTAAAAGGTTATGGGCCCAGGTTTACTCTGAAATAGAAGTAAAGGAGAAAAAAGCAAAGAAAAAGTTAACATTAATTTTTGAAAATTATTGACAAAAAACGTCAAAATGGATCAAATACGTTCAATGAATTTGGAAAAATTTGATGGAAACAACTTTAGACAGTGGAAATTCCAGATAAAATGTGCTTTAAAAGCAAAGGGAATTGATATTTTAGTGCCAAAATCAGAAACAAACAGTACTGAGTGGTTGAAAAATGATGGCATGGCGATGTTCATAATAACTTCTTCAATGGACTTTAAGCAAATTACATTGATAGAAAACTGTGAAACTGCTAACGAAATAATGACAAAACTTAAATCGATATATGAACAAAAGAGTGAATTATGTAAAATGATGATTCACGAAAAGTTTTATCAATATAAAATGTCATCGAGTGACAGTGTAGTACAGCATATCTCAAAAGTAGAAACTTTAGCTAAACAGCCTAAAGAAAGTGGTGAGAGTATTAGCAATATGGCCATCATAACAAAAATTCTTGGGACTTTGCCTCTTAAATATAGATCACTGCGTCAAGCATGGATGTCGTTGGATTCAAAACAACAGACTCTTATTAATCTAACTGCTCGTCTATTAGATGAAGAAGCAAGTTTAGAAAGTATGGAAGAATAAGAGACAGCTCTTTTTGTTGCTAATAAGGAGTTTAAGAAACAGCCAAAACAATAAGAGCCAAGGGCAAGTGGAAGTGGTACAAAACAAAACTACTAAACATAGATTTGAATGTTACAATTGTGGAAAACGGGGCCACTTTTCTAAAGAATGTCGTTTACCAAGAAAATCCAAGTTTAGAAAACCTCAAGAAGAAGGTACAGATATGTTAGCGTTTAATGTGGAAGATAATTCTTTTGACGCTAAAGAATGCGATCAGATATCATTGAAATTAGGAAACAAGCAATCTGTAGAAGTGTCAGGCATAGGAAAAATATTAATAAAGAGAAATGTCAATGGACAGTGGGAGACCAGTGAACTGCATGGTGTGTTGTATGTTCCAAGTTTCAGAAGAAACTTATTTTCAGAAGGTGTGATAATACGAAAATGTTATACTATTATCAAGAAAGATACAAGTGTTTAAATTTACAAAGACAATAACGTCGTTATGATTGCAAAAATTACAGAAAACAACCTATATGAGATATGAAGATAAAGGCAGTGGTTCCAAATACTTGTAATA